AATTGAGACGCCATCAGCGGACCAAGCCAAAACAGAACCAAAAGCGGGCCAATCCTCGACGAAACGAGCCCGGGACCCTTACCGAAGAGACCTCCACCGAAAAAAAACCACGAATTTGCCGTCGCTGCAGGGGAGAAGAGAAGTAAAAGAGAAGGAATTAGGGATGAGGGAGAAACGATGAGCCATCTGCTGGCAAAGGGGCCGGCGAATCGCCGGGGAAGGCACAACGGGGAGCTATAATTAACCGGGTTAGGTTCTGCGGATTGGGTGACGAGGGAGAGATAAGAGCGATGTTTTGTAAGAGTGAATCTCTACCATTGGTTGCAACATAATAGTGGCCATGATCAAGTCAAATATTAAATATGCTAGTCAAACATTGAAGGCAATTTTGTTATAAGTGTACATTATGTGGTCAAATATACACATTTGACCATTAAAGGGTAAAAAAGACATTATATATTTATCTATGGGCCCACCACTAACATCACTACCATTATCTCTCTCTCTCTCACACACTACACCTAAAACACACACTCACCCTCACACGCTGCACACACACTACACACACGTGCTGCACACACACAAACACACACACACACCTTACACACACACACAATACGCAGACTGGCAACCCGTCGCCACCACTCTACCTACCGTCACCTGCCTCGTCGGTGCATCCGCCGGAGAATCCACTCTAGATCTACAACCGTCAGCCAGAAAAAGGTTGTGCCACCATGACGGCCGTCGTCAACTCTTCCCAGTGTTCACACTGGTTGGACGAAATCTCAGCCGTCGTCCGCCAACCATTATCGTCTACCTCCTGTTCACGCTGCCACCGGCGAAGCATCAGCCGTCCGCCACTTCAAGGAGGCAGAATTTTTGTTAGGTTTTCTGTGCGCCGGTCAGGTTCCAGTGAACATTGACGGCTTACGTCACCGGCCGATGGCATCACTGTGAGTTTGGAGATATGGCAACAATTGGTGGAGGTTTAGATTTTAGGTGTGTTGTTGAGAATTTGATTAGATGTAGGGACTTGATTGCAATTATATAAACATTTAATATATTACAGTTGAGGACATGGGTTAAATGTGTAATTTGTAAAAATATAATTATTATTTTAATAATTAGGCTTCCTCTATTATCTTTTGAAGATTTTGTGCAATATGTTGAGCATTTACGTGCAACCCATATAACCTTAAAGTGCAAGTGAAATACATAAAAATATAGATATAAAATATTATTAATTTTCAGAAAAAATATAAATAAAATAAATTCGGTATATATTTTTCATATAGTTCAACATGTTTGGTTAGTTTGTTTATTTAAAAAATTTACATCTGATCTTTATCCAACTAATATTATTCGGTCGATTAGCACAATTACAGTAATTTTGTTAGATGTAGCATGTCGTTTTAAGGTGCAACATGTTGTGCTACAAAGTGCAATGTAATGCTGTATAAAGTGCAACATAGTAATATATACGATGCAATAATGAAATTTTGATACGTTAGCATGAGTGTGTTTTTTTTATGTGAAAGATATTAAAATGAGTAAAAAAAATTCTCCCATATGAACTATCACGATTTTCGCGCATCACCCTATAAACTTCTTTTTTTGACAAACCACCACTTGAACTACACGGGTTTGTCAAATTACCCCCTACAACGGATATAAAAAGCAGTTTTGACTAAAAAAACTGATTTATGAGGGCATTTATGTAATTTCATATATTTTTTCATAAAGAAAAATAAAATGAAAAAATGGAAAGAAAACAGCAGATAGGTGGCGGCCAGCTCTTACGATGCCGACATCGCCGGTGGGCGTGAGTGCGAGGTAGACTTACATGTCCTTATGAAGAAATCTAAATCCAATTATTGTTATTCAAATAGTTTACACAGTGCAAGTAATTGTGATTAATGATATCAATTAAAATACTTGAAAAAAAAAACATTATGATTATAAACATTTTAATATCTGTACAAAATAATGAAAGCATTTAGCGAAGATTCATGTGCTAGTTCAACATGCATATCCTATAGAAGTATTGACGGAAACTGAGTTGATTGATTAACTGATAGAAGATTACATTAAATAGACACAAGTAAGAGGTTGTTCCACCAAATGAGGATATCCTAAGGACTAGATAAGTACTGATTTATAGGAACAAAATACAACAACCATAGACTAAGTCAGCATTATTATCTATTATGCCCCCTCAAGATGATGTTGCCATCAGCAACATTCATCTTGACCCGCAATTCCTGAAATCGAGTGGCTGGCAGAGGCTTGGTGAGGAGATCTGCAAGTTGATCACGTGAAGATACATGCGAGACACGAATGCGATCTGCCTGAACCAGTTCGCGCACAAAGTGATAGTCCAGGAGAATATGTTTCATCCGAGAGTGAAGGACGGGGTTAGAACTGAGATGAACAGCACCAAGGTTATCACATAACATGCAAGGTGAAAACTGCAATGACACCTTCAATTCATGAAGCAGATTAGATAACCACATAACCTCTGTAGTAGTGGTGGCTAGTGCGCGATACTCAGCCTCAGTGGATGAACGAGCAACAGTACGTTGCTTGCGAGATAGCCAAGATACTGGATTGCCTCCAAGAAAAATGACATACGCTGAAGTGGAAGTAAGATCATCACTATTACCTCCCCAATCTGCATCAGAGTACGCAACAATGTCGAATGAGGGGGAGGAACGGAGCTTAACTCCATGATTAATCGTGAGCTTCAGATACCTTAAGACCCTCTTTAAATGCTGAAAGTGTAAGGTCGTGGGCTTGTGCATATATTGAGCCAATTTATTTATTGCGAATGAGAGGTCAGGTCTGGTGAGGTTCAAGTACTGCAAGGCTCCGATTATTCGACGATAAGAGGTTGCATCAGTAGCTGGACTGCCATCACTCAAGCGAAGGATTGCTGTAGAAGACAACGGAGTCGGGGCAGGTTTAGCTCCTGTCATATCAAAGCGTTCAAGGACTTCCCGGATATACTTATGCTGAGACAAGAAAAGACTCCCACTGGTTGGTATGAGCTCAACGCCAAGAAAGTAATGTGGGAAGCCCATATTTTTCGGTGAAAATCTCCTAGACAGTGCAATGATAAATGTAGAGAGAAATCGATTGTCACTGCCAGTGAGGAGAAAATCATCTACATACACAAGAAAATATGCGCGCACCGTGCCTTTGATATAGATGAACAGTGATGGATCACTCTTGCTCATTGTGAATCCGCAAGACAAGATAAAAGCTTTGAGGGCATTATGCCATGCTCGCGGAGCTTGACGTAATCCATAGATAGCCTTATGCAGCCGGCACACATGATTGGGGTGTTGAGTGTCCTTGAAACCCGGGGGTTGTGCCATGTAAACCTCCTCCATTAGTGATCCCTGTAAGAACGCATTGTTGACATCTAGCTGATGCATCTGCCAGTGTCGGCTTAGAGCCACAGAAAGTACAATCTTGATAGTTTGAGGGCGAACAACTGGTGCAAAGGTATCCTTGAAATCAACACCAGGGCATTGTGTGAACCCTTTAGCCACAAGGCGAGCCTTGTAACGAGCTATAGAACCATCGGGATTTCTCTTAATGCGGAATAACCACTTGCAACCCACAATGTTTTTCCCATTAGGTTTCGGTACAAGAGACCATGTATTGTTGCGAACAAGTGCATCATACTCATCAGATAATGCGTGACGCCAGTGTGGATATTTCTGAGCCTCTCGCACACTGGAAGGTTCCAAGTTCTCTGGCAATGGGTGTTGCGTGACCATGAATGCTCGTTTGGGCTTGAAGATATTGTTTTGAGATCTAGTCACCATAGGGTGGTGGCACTGTAAGGCATTGTTAGGAGTTGGAATAGTAGAAGAAATGGACTCAGAGCTGGAGGGAGTTGACATACCTGATGAAGAGACTGAATCCAAGGGTGCTATGACTGGAACGGTCGGAGGAGATGGGGCGCTGCTCTGAGAGGGTGTGGGTGCAGGTACAGGAAGGACATGATGGAGTGGAAGATGTGATGAGTCAGATTCTTGTATAGAGAACTTGTTTGAGGAAGACGGTGTGCAGAATGGAAAATGATTGTCAAAAAACGTGACATGACGAGATGTGTAAAGACGATGAGATTGAGGATCGAGGCACAAATACGCATACTGAGAGGAAGAGTAACCTACAAAGATGCAAGGTTTGGAACGTGGCTGAAGTTTATTTGACGTGTACGGGCGCAACCATGGAAAGCATAGGCATCCAAAGGAGTGGAGATGACGGAAATTATGACCGGTGCCATGAAGCGTAGCATGTGGAGAGCGCATTTTGAGCACCGGAGTGGGTAGACGATTGATCAGATATACTGCAGTGGTAAAAGCGAAAGACCAGTAAGATGAAGGGAGGTTAGCATAATGAAGAAGCGCCCGACCTGTTTCAACGATATGACGATGTCGTCTTTCTGCAACAGAATTTACCTCCGGTGTGTATGGAGGAGTAGTGAAATGAGAAATGCCATTAGCTGTTAAATAAGGTCGAAGTTTAAGGAATTCACCCCCATTATCAGAGTGTACAGCTATTATTTTGGAACCAAAATAATTTTCCACAACAGATTGAAACTGAGGAAAGATAATAGAGACATCTGATTTATTTTTCAACAAAAATATCCAAACATACTTTGAATAATGATCCACAAATATTAAATAATACAGGAAGCCATCAACAGATTTAACTGGCGCTGGGCCCCACACATCCGTGTAGACCAGTTGCAGTGGTTTGGTACTGACAACATTTGAGGACTGAAAGGGAAGTTTGTGGCTCTTAGCACCACTACATGACAGACATGGAGAGGCAGTGCCTGGTTTTATTTGATAAGAGCTTGACAAGTGCTGAATAATACGAGATGAGGGGGGACCAAAAATATGATGCCAAGGAGGTGGAGAGGTAACGCTGGTTTGCAACGCACAAGGAAAAATTCAGGCACAGCAAGTTGATATAGACCTTGTTTATGACGACCTTTGAGCAGAGGCACCCTTGTCTTCAAGTCCTTCACCAGAAAATGATTAGAAAAGAATTCAACAGACACTGGATTAGTTTGACATAAGGAAGAGACAGAAACAAGGTTTTTTGAAATGGAAGGAACATGAAGAACATTAGGAAGAGCCAAAGGTCTAGAAGAAGTACGCAGAGAGATATTACCAGTGTGAGTTATAGGAAGGGAGGAGCCGTCAGCCACAACAACTTGTTCGTCACCATAATATGGGGTAGTAGTTTGTAAACTACCAAGATCATTTGTTATATGATGTGTAGCACCAGAGTCTACAATCCAATCCGAGGAAACGAAGCGAGATGCCGTATGAGCCTGACGGGCAGAGCCTTGACCACCACGTCTTGGTGGGTTAATTTTGAAGCAGGTTTTAGCCGTATGACCCGGTTTCTCACAGTACTGGCATACGGGACGTTTGGAGTTGCCGTAGTTGCCATCATTTGACGTGGGATGACCACGCTGCTTTCTTGGAAACGAACGCTGCTTCTGCGTTGTATGTGCTGTGATTACCAACGACGGTTCAGATGACGGAACGTCACGTTGAAGGTAGGAATCAAAGTCACTGAGGAGATCATGGAGCTCCTCGAAGCCAAGGGGGTGTTCGCGAGCTCTTACAGCCGCTGCAATTTCCCTATAATCAGAACCCAGTCCATTCAATACATGGATGACCAAATCAACGTCATCAAGGGGAGCATTAATCAGTGCGAGCTCATCTTCCATGGATTTTATATCATGGAGATACTGCATCATGGTTTTGGACCCTTTGGAGAACCGAGAGAGACGCTCCTTGAGGTGCATGATTCTGGCTCGTGATTTACCAGCAAATAATTTCTGAAGTGTACCCCAGGCCTGTTTCGAGGTTTTGACATTACTCAGGATAGTGATGACTTGCGGATCCACAGAAGATATTATTGCGTGAAGGATTAGTTGATCTTGACGGCACCAGGCAGTGTACGTATCAGCAGTCGTAGCCGGACATGGCTTGGTGCCATTAACAAAGCCGATGAGATCATAGCCAACAAGTAAGGCGTTAATTTGGACACGCCATGCAGGGTAGTTGATGTTTGTAAGCTTCACACAATTGTGTGAGTGGAGGGCAATGACTGTGGACGCATCATGGGAGGGGACTGCGTTGTGGTGAGGGTTTGTGGTTGAGCCAGCAGACATGATGAGAAAAAAAAAAATTCTCGTGAAAAGAACTGTGTTGGATCAGTTGCTGTTAAGCAAATGCTCTGATACCATATAGAAGTATTGATGGAAACTGAGTTGATTGATTAACTGATAGAAGATTACATTATATAGATACAAGTAAGAGGTTGTTCCACCAAATGATGATATCCTAAGGACTAGATAAGTACTGATTTATAGGAACAAAATACAACAACCATAGACTAAGTCAGCATTATTATCTATTATATCCAACCAAACACAGGTCTTTAAACATTTAACTCTTTACATATACCTTGATCCTGCATAATTTAGTTCTTTCCGTTCCAAATAAAAAATTAATAAAAAAGAAAAACAAGGAACAGAAGAATCATGCAATTTAAGCATGAAGAAGATGAGCAGGAGAGTTAGATCGGATCGACGGGCCTGAGTTACAACAAGGGCGAGATCGGGTCAAAACGCCCTGAACCCCGGAGCCCCTGCTGTCGCCGTGGAGGCCCCGCTACCGAGAGTGCCTCAAGAACCACGCAGTCGGCATCAGCATCCATGCTATCGATGGTTGCGGTGAGTTCATCCCCGCTGGAGACGGTGACACGCTCGAGTACCTCCACTGCGTGGCCTGCAGCTGCCACCGCAACTTCCATCTGAAAGAGTTTGATTCCTCCTTAGGCAGCGACGGCGGCGGAGGCGGTGCCATCGCTTTCCGTCCTCACGTTCTTGCCGCTCCTCAAGGCCGCCGGTGACTCCCTCGTCGGCGTCTCCTTTCTGCTCCGTCTTGACTTCCTCGCGGAGCCAACCGCCACTTATGCGGCCGCCCACGACATGTTTTTTTTTTCATTTTTATTTCTTCATTGTGGAGTATGATCCGCCGCTACCTATGCTGTGTTTTCTTTCTTCATTTTTTTCATTTTCCCTTTTTTTAAAAAAAAATATATGAAATTACTGAAACACCCTCATAAATCAGCTTCTTTTAGTGAAAACTGTTTTTTATCCGGTGTAGGGGGTAATTTGACAAACCCGTGTAGTTCAGGTGGTGGATTGTCAAAAATAAAGTTTGTAGGGTGATGCGCAAAAATCGTGATAGTTCGGATGGTAAAAAGTTCTTTACCCTATTAAAATATTGTGTAGATTTGTCTTATAAATTTATATCGAGTAATTGTTTGGTGGCAAACGTTGACGTTAATTGTAGATTGCTTTGATAAAGTGCAACATGTTGTTTTATAATGTTAACGTGTTGTTTTATAAAGTGCAACATTCTGCTATATACAGTGCGCTAATTTATACATTCCAATAATTATTTGTATTGGAAAACGAATTTTAATATATATAATTGTACATCAAATTAACCTAAATAATTAAAATTTTATTTATCATTATCATGATTTATTTTTTATATTATTTTAAGAAATCATAATATAAAGAAATTGCAAATAGACACTTTAACATTATCTAATTCACAAAAAAAAAAAAAAAA